TGGTTATTGATAAGTTTAAACAACACACAAGTAGGGCCAAGAGCCCACACACAACGTTGTCACGTATGCAACACATGCAGAGGATGTCACCGTATTGCTACAAGAGAAAACAGAAAGACAAACTGCCAAAGAACATCACTGCAATGAAGGCATCGAAATAATGAGGGCGCACAACATATATAAATTTGCATTAAATTGATTACCTTTAAATTACTATTTTGCATAAGCGGTCAGATAGAAGTCGGTGTGTAGCGTGACCACGAAACTTGGTTGTCAGAAGCACCTCTCTTTCACAGACAGCTATGGGAAAACGCAGCGGTAAAAACATTTTATTACTTTTATTTTGCTTAAGTGAAGGGTACCACAGTCTCAAAGACCAACAAAGTTTCACTATCTAAGCGGCGTATGTTTTTATTATTTTCCCTAATCCAAACACTTAAGCTAAGCTTTTGGCTGCCACACGAAAGTCCAACGAGAAACCTAAAAAGAAATCACTTTGGATCAATCGCGAGAGGGCTCTCTTCATTTGTTCGAGAGGCGTTTCAGCTCTTGGGAGGCATCTTATGAAGGATCTTGTTTCGATGATGGCGCAGTCGAAAACTGATACCAAACTGGACACCAAGAAGGATTTGCCTTTGATTAATGAGTTGGCAGATATGCGAAATGCCACTAAGGTAATATTTTTTTGTGGTCAACTTCGTAAAACACAGTACCAGTCTAATATCACGCTGTAGTTAGACTTTTCGGTGTGGTCCCTGTCTCATTACTTTGGTTTTTGTTTACGGGCCGTCCTCGTGTTACTTACTCCTTGCCTATATCACATTATTAGCCCTGTATCGGCAAACGAGATACTCTAAATGACACCCTTAAATACTTCATACAGCTTGGTCAGTCATGCCACCAAGGGTATAGGTGTATGTCATGGAGACACCAGAAAAGTAAGTAGACGTTCGATGCTATCACATCCTCTCATTTGCATTCAAGATTCGTTTATTCTCAAATGCGATTCATAAAATGGAATCAAATATTAATGGTCGGGTAAAGTGGAAGTCCTCGAGTCTGAGCCCTTTGTGATTTTACCATCTAGAGCTTACTTGTTTTTTTGTGAAGTCTTTAGGTTAACGCTTTTATATAAATT